TCGTTCGACCACACACGGAGTACGCCTTTCAAGTATGGAATCCATAGTTAAACCGCGACAAGAAGGCTCTAGAACGTTCGAAGAGGCTGGCAACGAAATTTGTAAAAGTTCTGTATAACAAGACATACTCCAAAAGGCTGCAAATATTGGGACTCTACTTATCTCAATACCGCCTACTTCGGGGGACCTAATCTTGGCATATCACATANATCACATACTGCATCAACCCAACCACCCTTGCCGTTCTCTGCTGACTTTAACTCATAATGATCACCTCAGGAGACATCCATTAAAGGTGAAGACCCAGCCGGCATCACTCATTTGCAGTCAGAGTGTGCGCCGTACGGAATTCTCTTCCATCTGATGTAGTGTGTACTCCTACAGTTGAACTATTTAAATCGCAACTTGATAAAGCATTGAAACACTTAAATTTTAACATCCGTGTGTGATCATGCAAATTTTTATTAGTATTATTTTCTCTTTGTAAAGTTATTCCAAATATTCTGTAAAAATCCTATGAGGCATGATAAGCTTTAGTTTTGTGAAGTCGCCCATTATGAAACTTTGACTTTGAATTTAATTCCCGGGGCTTAGGTTCTCGGTATGGATTATAGAAAAGCAGATCTTCGTGACTATGGGGTCCACCCCGTCTAGTGTGTGATAAAAAAGTGACGACGATGATGATGACACTAATAGTGGAAATTCGGGCAGTGAAAAATCACAGGTTGTTTCCACACCCGCCTTCCACAACTATCAAACCGGGCATCCAGTGATCCTGTAATGGCAAACAGAACACAACCACAATCGTTTTGACGGATTTGGGTATATATATATAATGTATCACCAGCTTGTGAACAAGCATGGTACCAGTACAACAACAACGACAGACGACAAGCTACAAAATTCCAACTGGGAAAGTAGCATGATATAAATGGATCGTTTATTGGACAACCGACGTTTTATAGTGATTGATTTGCTGTATAGCCCATAAAAAACCATTGACATTCGGGTTAAACATACTGCTGGCCTCGAATTGAGTCTTATTTTTCAGTAGTCTTGCATTTTATTCGCCCAATAGTTTTGGGTGTGATGGTCGAAAAAGTACACTGTTTCGTCCTTTTCGGGAGTTGTCATCAGTGCACAGTTGTTGAGCCTCGTGACCCAGATCATTAAATTTCCAACTGGGTGCTGAAACACTTATGCACAGTTATCTGCTCAGCGGCTAACAATCCGAGCGAGGAGCACATTTCCGCGTTCAACCGGAGGGTTCGTGACAGGGACAGAAAAATAGTACTCAGCGCTGAGGAGTCTCTATGATAACAAATCAGTCGAATTCAAGATAGCGATCTACAATTAGTTACAATCTGTTGTCAAGGTTAGACTCCTAGGAAGAAAATACCTTATTTACGTGATTGCTACCAGTTGCAACCTTCGACATGGTTACGTAGCTGCGAAACAGAATCTGTAGTAGATCATGTTAATGCTATAAAAATAAAACAAAACCCATATGGCAACTACATCATGAAAGTCAATTAATGCGATTTTGAGCTGGAAAGTTGCACGCTTGTGGTTTTGACTATTTCGGGCGAGGTTGGGTATGACCATGAGAAATAAGGATGATGGCAATTTAAAGTCAGAATTCGGTGAATGAATTGGATATGGTACCAATTACGTAGTAATTGCTACACTGCTGGCGCACACAACCAGACCACAGAACACTGTGTGATTCTCACATTTGGTCTAAACAGATGGACCATGTCTTATTCCGTATTGCGAGGCAAAAAAATTGTAGTAACAACTCATACTCATTGTGATGTGCATTGATGTCTTTCCAACCTCTAGGCTCAATCCCGGTGCACTCACAGCACCTCTCCCCCCTCCCCGGTAACATACCGCCATTCCAAAAACACGAGATAAGTGCGTTCGAAACCAGGTGGAGAATGTGATCAGGGAATAAGTGAATCCGGAAAATAAAGATAATGTGAACCTATTGAAAGATTTTAGAGTATCAAGCCCATTCGATTGTTCAGAAGCACCAGGCCCTCTTGATGTTCCTGGGTTTCACTCCATGGGAGATCGTTAATTCCCTCGCTTGCTACTCCAAAATTGATTGAGCCATTCGCACAAGGTAATGACCGTCGACCGTGTGGCTCACGGGTGAGGGTTTGAAGTCCCGACCCGAACGTTTGCCGTTTAAATCCTGACAGGGATACACTGCTGACGAGTCCCAAACTGGACCAAACAGCTGTCCAGTGCCTTTTGTTGGTTATCACACACATTTCTGTCGCATGTAAATATTGAAAGATTGCTCATGGTGATAGATATTTTGCCGAATAGATTGGAGTGATTTTGTTTAGATAGTCATTTGACCTAGATTCGTTGATCAGGTCTGGGACCTGCAAGCGGGTGAATCGAATAGACAGTATTTAAGAGACCCAGTGCTATGATCATGAACTGAAACCCGATACATGATTGCTTGTCGAGCTTGATTAGTATTAGATGCACTCTGTAGAGTGCTTTCTGATACATGTCTCTCATGTTTGACACTGTCCGCCGATAGGTGTGTGTTTGTATGTGTGAGAGTGAACTATCGACCTAATTTAAAGACCGGAACATACTTTACCTGGTGTATTATAAACCTAAGGGAGGTTTTTGAATCCGTATATTGCATAGCAATCTTCAGTAAGGACAATATATTTTCTGCAAGCATTTTATCGACCGTTGGTTGACCTCATGCCATTTAAGTTGTGTAAATCATGGTGCTTTGATTGAACTTTGGTCGATTAACATATATAAAGGAGTCAACGGAAATGAAAGACCAAAACTGGATGAGGATATAAGGACTTATATTTGCCTGTCACATACGTTAAAGCATCCTGTTGTCCTATGGTGATTCAACGCTCCAGAATGACCAATGAGAAGCCGATATTCTGAACCCATCAGCATCCACCTGGTTCAAACAGGAATCATGTGTCGACCAGAATACGAACTGTGATTTGTCACTAGTGGATCTTCTGTATAGTTAATTTAATTGCTTTCACCTATACCGATAAAATAGCCGCTGATTCTCTGGTCTGTAGCTGATTACCAGAGGAGTTTCGATTAGTTCTGCGATTATCAATCAGCTCGAAATGCTAGTATTACACTCCTGAGACGTAAACTTTTCAAGTATAGTTTTATAAAGTCGAAATTTTTCATTCCATTTATTTGTGTTGAATAAAATAGGAGAGTGCACAGTGGTGTGTCGGAATAATTTGGGATTGATCCAAGCAGTTTTGGGATCCAGGCTCAAGTCTCTTCTGCCACCACATAGAATACTGCATCCGTATTCAAAGCTTTAATCCAACCTATCCCCGAGAATACTGGCTTATTTGCTCGAAATAAGTATGATACTGTACAATAAGCGCGTAATTTGAGTAATACAAAAAGTATGTGTTAGGTACCGAATAAACGCTTCCCAAAGTGATGTAATGTTGAATAAAACGGGAATTTATTAGTTCCAAACAACTCATTTCAGCAAGGAAAACGTTAGACCAAGGTTAATCAAACTGTCTTAAGGTGTTCATTCGGAAAGAAAATTGTTTTCTTGGAAGAGCTAAGGAAAAATATACAGTAATCTCACGAAACGCGTTTTAAAATGCTTAGTTCAAAGACTTTTGAAAGTTGTACAGAAGGCTGATTTATGTGTTATTACCCGAGGGTACATTTTCACCATAGCAGACGATTTGAAGCAAACAGGAAGGAGTAATCTTCGCTGACAGTACCACAAACACTTCGGACTTAAGACCCAACAAAGAACTATATTCGATTATGTGAAAAAAGCGATGAGAAATTGTAATTTCATTCTACGTTGGGGTTATCCTGAAACAACATGGTCGACAACCCTTTTTATTCATTCGTTTCTAATGAAGTAATATTAAGTTCCATAGATGAAATTCGTCGTGTATAGAGCAAATAAAGTGTGAACTGAAAAAGCTGGGAAGCAAAAGACAACTGTTTTGACCCGATTGAGCCTCATCAGCAGTGCGAATCCATTGATCCAACTACGGATAGAACCCGGGATCTCACAGGCAGAAGTATGCTACTCACCCGGCCACCGAACAGCTGATCAGACTGTTTTTCATTTTCCATTTACAAAACCCATCTTAACGAGCTTGTTGCGGGGATCGCGCCTTGCACACCTCAGTACTATCCTCCGGGACTCGGTTGCAAACTTGCTCAAGCTGACTACTTGGTGGATGTGTATGGATTCGTACTGCTGATGAGACCCAACCAATTCGAAGCAGCTGTACATTGCTTCGTGTCTCTTAAGTTCACGCTTCATTTGACGAGTTCCTTTTATGAGATTGAATCAAATCCTCCATTACTCACTCATATAATTTCCTTTCTTCCTCCCTCTCCTGACGTCGAGATATATTTTCCAGGGAGAAGAAAGCGGGCAATCAAAGCGCTCCCACAAGGTACAATCAAGTGAAAAATTATGGGCGGTAGTGCTATTAAAACGCGCTATCTCCGACCCGTTTTGATGGTAACAAACATCATTTGCATACAGCCGCCTTCTTTTTAATTGCTCAATTGTAAACTCGATGGCATTAATATGCATTTTTATGAGAACGGATGCGACATCAGCGGAATATTTTATTTCGTTTCTGATAGTGTTACTTATAGAAAGTTTGTTTCCATGCCTTTTCAGTTGTTGAAAGATGTGAGTGAAATATTTAAATACTATGGAAATATTCGTAATGACCAAAAAAGCGCACTGGACAGCTGTTTCGTCTTGTTCGGGACTCGTCAGCAGTGAGTAAATTTTGTGTCCCTGTGAGATCTAGAACCGTGTAGCTCAGGGGTAAGGGATTGAAGCCCCGGCCCGAATGTTTGCTGTCCAGTATTCTTTGTCGGTCATCACAAATATTTCCATCGCAATTAAATGCATTCAACTGGTGAGGAATGCATGATCTCCCAAGGAGTGAAACCCACACCCAGTACCATCAAGAGTGCCTGGTGCCTCAGAACAATCTATCGGGCTAATTCAAACTTGATAGTCTAAAGTGAGTGAAATACCTGAGCAATTTTGGGAACCTTTAGGTTTTGTGATCCTTTCACGATTATGTTTTATACCCCAAGATATCCCGAAAAAGCATATTCAAACCATAAAAGTTTTACTCCTTCAGTGCAGTAGGAAGAATCATGCAAACACAGTTCAATCACCTAGAGTGTTTTAAGCTCTCAAAACAAATGTAAATGCCATACAAATGCATGTGAACGCGAATTTCATGCACCTAGCTCTTTTGATTACAAAGAGTATCACATTGCATTTTTGACCCTGACGTTCTACACCTTCACACGTTTCAGTTCTATCGAATGGTCAGGGGTGGTTCCTTCTCTCAAACAGCATGGCGCTTTTCCTTAAACTAGGGTCAGCTTTTGCACGTCTAAGATATCACAGGATAAAAAGTGTACTTGTTTGAATAAGGAGTGTGTGTCTACATTGTGATGGTTTTCGTCGTATACATGCCTCTGTTTTCGATAGGCCTGCTATACTGAGTACACGTGAGTATATCCTCCACCGGTTTCCTCACTTAAACCAATATATATATATATATTCAAATCATACAAAATTGTGTAGTAATCGGGATGGATTTCCATTCACGGGGCAAATGATGGATCAGTTTCTAGTGCATCGTCAGTTAGGATCAGTGTTGTTACTTTTGCTGTTCGCAATACCGTCTCAGGTAGTCGGACAGTTTCCGGCCGTATGTGCAAAGAACCTGACCACAAGTTTACCGGCTGTGTGCTGCCCGATTCCGGTAGGTAAGTATTCACAAAAGTAGGCGGTTAAATCTTTCTCAATGGGTGACCGAAACGGATTGCTATAAAATAAGCCGATCATATGGTAACCGAGTGTAAAATCTGATATTTATTCTTCCGATTTATAAGCGAGGGCAGTTTGGTACTACATAAGTCAAACGGTAAGATGTTACTTATTGATTCACATTGTTTCTTTTTCAATTATTTTGTATCACCCACTGTAGTATTTTCGGGCCTGCTTTTAACTAACGCCAAACCATCCTATTTTGGGTTACAGATAACAAATTGCTCCTCCAGTACGGATTTGTATTGCTTAGTCTTTGCGACTGATGTCAGATTTTTTGTTCTTTGTTGACAAAATTCTCTCTCCGATCTTCGTCGTACCCTAAACACCGGTCTTTCGGAATAGTTCTCCCTCATAAACCTCTACTCGTTCAGCTTATCATCTTGCACCCTTTCGTGAGATCTCGAATAAAATCTCTACAGTTCTTTACCCAGTACACAGAAAGTGATACAGTTATTACAGGAAAACTTCGTTTCTGATAGTTCTACTCAAATACTGATACCTTTAGTTTTCATTTTTTGTGCTGAATTTAATCTGCTTTATATCATCTAAGACACTCGACTTGGGTCACTCTAGACAGGGTTTATTGCATAAACTCTGGATATCTGAAGGTAACATTGCACGGTACATCCTACTGATTTGGGCTTGAATGTTAGTCAGAACGGAGTTGAACTTGATATAGATTTGCCAAGTGAACTTTAGACGACAAGGTTAAAACTGTTCCGACATAGAATGGGCAGAAAAGACTCAGATCTTCGATCAAACAACATCAATTTGAACAGAACCATCCTGATTCGCCAAACTCTTACAACAGAACAAACACAAATTTACTAAAATTCGAAGAGGCTTTAGCCACTCATACTCACAAACGAGAGTAGTTATCCACAACAACTTTGCCGTGGTGACTGAGTCCTACCCTCACTCGTTTTCCGTGTTATTGTGTCATCTTGTTCGTTGTGATTAGCGATCTCGTCTTCGTCTCACAGTTGATATCTCACTGAGTATAAAAATCACCTTAGCTACAGTTTGATGCAGCGAAATGACCATGGATACACTATTCAAACCCATGTTTCTGAGTTCTCGAATCAAAGGGACTGTATGGGCAATGACCTCGTCGAATAATGTGATCACCATAGTTTGATATAAATTAGGGAAGGTAAAAACAGACAGTACACGATGCGAGCGGAAAATGCAATGAAATAAGAAAGTCGAAGTGTTCCTATGGAAATTTACTTACTGCACAAATCATAAACACAGGTTCTGATTTGAGTTATCACCAGCTTGTGAAGAAAGCATCACAACTAATCCACTACGAACCGGATAAGCAGGAGAATGTGCCTTCATAAAGGCATTCTTCTCAATTTATCATTCATCACAGCTTTTCCTTGAATTCGATCAAATTACCTATGGAAATGAAAATAGCCCATAAAGTAAGGATTTTTTGAATCAATCTAAGTTCCACAAACCGGATGTATTTAATATCATGCTGAAAAATTTGCCAGGGTTGTGATATGTTAAAGCATGACGTAGTAAAGTGCGGGCGTAGAGTAAGGCTTATGTTCTCCAGAGGTGGTTCATGAAATCATTCTGTGACTGGGTCCATCAGTAGCTAGATCGCTGCACGTCATGTGAGGTCAAAACAGGTGGTTAATGTGTCTGAGAGCTTTTGCCCCTTCTAGCTAGATCAAATCTACAAAATCGAGGGGAGTAAGAGTTGTATCTTCGCCAGAGAGGAAGCGATCGGAATTGATATAGAGTTATCTGCTTCCTAACACATTTCATAAGAGCACTCAAACTTTCATGGTCATCACTGAATTTGCCACACCCTTTCTGCCACTCTTCTCACGCTTTGAATCAATGTGTATGTACGAGAAACCTCCGGGCGTGGGAATGAAATTTAGTTTTTTTAAGCTTGCAGCTGAATCTCTCGCCATACATGATGGATATTATGAATTGTAGTGTATTATCAAGTGAATGAGTTTCTCGCTTCTTCATGCTTTTCTTGCGATGCAGCAAAAATCTGTAGTACCGAATAGTTTACAGTTTTGTATCAAACCCTTGTGACAAAAGTGTAAGAGTTTGTAACAATCTTCAGTTATTTTTATCAGTCACACACCTGACGGTCATCACCTTGTGCGAATGGCTCAACCAATTTAGAGTATCAAGCTTGGATTAGCCCATTCGATTGTTCAGAAGCACCAGGCACTCTTGATGTTCTTGTTGTGGGTTTCACTCCCTGGGAGATCGTGAATTCCCCACCAAGACCCTCAAGAGTGCCTGGTGCCTCTGAACAATCGAATGAGCTAATCCAAACATTCACCATCTAAATTGATTGAGCCATTCACGCAAGGTGATAACCGTCTAAGATGTAGCTCAGGGATAAGGGTTTGAAGTCCTGACCAGGCTGATCCCGGTTCCAGTCCTGTTGACGAGTCCAAAACAGGACGAAACAGCTGTCCAGTGCTCTTTGTTGGTTATCACAAACATTTCCATCGCATTTGAAAAGGCGAATTGTTTGCACGAATGTGTATTGTTCTGCGAACAATCCGATAAGCTCAATTTTGCTTACACACCTAAACGAGCATTGGTCACCCATCTCCGACGTGTAATATAGGTAGGAGATGACCCGTTTATCCCGTGTTTGTAACAGACACGAGCTATTGTTCGACACCATATCGGTTTCCGTTTTTTTCAGAACAGTGACAGATTTTTTCAAAACTATGTCACAACGTTTCAGACGCATGTCGAAACTATTCAGGACTATATCTAACCGATTCAGAATTTTCATGTCATTGTTTGGTTAAGCTGGTGTTCTGATTGGTCTAGGACCTAGAACCTCTTCTATGCTTACGGATGTACCGTACCCTCATAGGTCGCGCACTGTTCTGCGGTAAAAAAAAATGGCAGGAGAATGTTTGCGTGCATCATTTTGTCACACGACCCGGGCAGAAAGCCCCTGTGGTCATCTCGGGTTCACAGCTTTCGGCCGTGTGAGATCAAGAGACTCACGGTACCGAAGAACGGGCTGTGACCCGGTCGTTGCCCTGGTGTCAAAATAATGTCCAGCGTACAAATTGGTTCCAGGGCAAGAAAGACACCGAGATGCGACCAGCGTTATTGGGATGATAAATAAAGATAAAAAACTTGAAACACGGTATTGTTACGTTAATTGTCCCAGTATTTGGACTTTACGTGAATTGCCGTAGCTGCAGCGACCAAAACGTCCTATCTTGATCCGAATATGGCCCGAACGATCGACAAGACAATGTCCATTCGGGATAGTGCCAGACAGCTAAGTTACTGGTGGACAAANNGGGGGGGGGGGGGGGGGGGGGGGGGGTTGAATAAACGCAAACCCGAAAAACAGGTTCCGGATAATGGGTGTTGCCTTTGGTGTAGAGATGAGAAGTCGATTGATGGTAGTTTGTCTTTTTAAGACTTGATTCTTACATTTTCTACAGCCCCAGGTGGCAGGAATTTTTCTGTATTTATTCTCGAAGTTATAGGCATTACTATATTCGATGTTCAGTTGTTCGCCGAGCTTAGCAATTTTATTGCAAACGGTTCATCATCAGTCAATGCAGTACCTGCAGATAATTTTTTAATTATTTTTTTTGATCTATGCATTATTCCTGGTACTTTTTACTGCTGCATCTATTCCGGTCCAAGGTTCCACAGAACCATGCGGAGGTCCGGGGCGTGGATTGTGCAGAGAGGCCCTACCAATATCGGAAGATCTAGATTTGTTTCCCGTAGAGGAACCATTTCTATTGGATGATCGTCTGGCTTGGCCCACACGATTTTTGAGAGCTGTCTGCGCGTGTCAGGTGGGTGCAGAATACCTTTCAGATGTAACTCTCGTGGATATACAACCGGTACTCATTGTGAATGTGTGAATACAAGTTGATACCCAGGAAATGGGTACTCTGATTTAGCTATATTGGCGAGAATAAAACCGTCTCCAAGAGTTCGTCCACTGAAATAATTGTCCAGTGCTTTGAAACTACTGTGTCAGTCTAATGCATTAGGATAAACTGAAATACGAAGAGTTGCTGGCACAGCGATTTATATGTAACCCTATTTGGAATACGGTAACACGACCTGGGAGATTCTTCATCAATTTAAGAATCACTGAACGGTGTTTATCAATGGGATACTGAGAACTGCATTAAATTCAATGTTTCGAAATACTAAGTCTTATTTCTACGTCACAAGGGTTGATTCCTCTCCTTCCTCGGAACTCAACGAGTGCCAAATACTTTAAATGAGAGGGATCTTGATGGTATTGTTCAGGGAGACTCAAACTGCTCAATCAGTTGCACCAGGGCTTCATCCGCACCTATGAAAAAATTTTGGTTTGCTTAGGTGCGTCCTTGATTAGCTTGAATCAACAGTTTCACATTTGAGTTCATTTGACCGCACACAGAGTATTCCATCCGGTTCTGGAGACCATGGCTAAAAGCAATATAAGATGCTGGTACGTCAACAAAGAAAAACCATCAACATGGCCAAGAGACTCGGGAAAAAATCATGTGATTTATCGCCTCATATAGTTCATTAATTATATCGATCGTTTAATTTTATCTGGGAAGTCAACCCGAAAACAAAGACTGGCCAATTTTCGGTACTTCAAGGCGGATTCGTCCCAGGCTTCTATATTACGCGAACTGTGTGACCGACTTTCACTTACTTTTGAGGCATTGTCAAACTAAACTCGTCCGGAAAGTTGTGGGCACTTTGATAAATAGATCAGGGGGGTCAAAAGGTTGTCAAATCCTTGATTTGTAAACCCGCGAAAATGACTGACCTCTTAGAGTGTGAATAGATATAAATATAGTGTATGATAATTATCCGAGCAGAAGATAGCCAAATACAATGACCGTTATATTCAAGAAATTCTCGATTTAATTATCCCCATTTGGGAAGAATACTTGATTTATTGGATTAGAACAGTTTATTCGTACTTTTTCTAATTATTATACGAGACAAAACAAAAAAGCCAAATCTGTTCGATACAGCGCCGGATAGATCGATACTCGTGAATTCGACCACCACTAACCAGGATGGGCTTTTATCGGTTGCGTAGTCTGTTGTCGACTGAAGTAAAGCTTTATTACTGCGACGAAGCGAAGGAATTGAGGAAGCAGTTGATTTATTCGAAAACTAGGTGGACTTCGTGCAGATCAGTGTCACTTGATCGCGTGTTTTGGTCTAACCGCCACCATTGTGCCAGGGACCATGCCGAATCGGATGACTGGATGTTTCGCTTTGAATGGTGCGAGCGTTTTTTCTTCTCGTAATGAAGTCAATCTGTGTATGGATTTTTCTTCTTAAATATTAGTTGCTCTGTTTAGTGTGTGCTCTAATCACGACAGATAAACTTTTCCAATTCGGAATAAAGATATTAATTGAACAAATGCCCGGAGAAACATGAATGACTTAAACCTATGATCATGTCCAACCAGTGAGGTTTGGTGTCGTTGTTTGTAGCTTGTTGTTTAGTACATGATCGCTTCTATTTCCTAATTTTCATTCCCTGGTTCTTGACACTTGCACATCCAGGGAAACTATGCTGGTTATGCATGTCATCAATGCCAGTCCGGTTGGACCGGTGCAAACTGTTTGGTTCGACGTCCAGCCCGAATCAGACGAAATGCGCTCAGTTTGACTTCGGTCGAGCAGAGGGAATTTCGTGATCGAATCAATCTTTCCAAACGACTACCCATGACGGAGTGGCTTGTGTTGA